TCCAACGGACTTACGATCTTATGCGATGTGCTTATTGACTACAATGCCATCTCAATTATTGATTCCATATCTACATCCACGCTTTTATTCATTACATAACATGCCTATCGATGTAAGAAACTTCAAATTAAATGATTCCTAGAAGTTAAAAGTTTCAGCATAAATTGATTTAAAACATATATATATATATTGATTTTTTAATAAGGCTGGAACATATGGACCGGATGGAATAATTATGCCACCGCCCTTAAATTTAAGTAGTGAAAAATTAGAACGCCATGGTGCATACTTATTAGAGGATGGCCAAAATATTTTTATCTGGCTTGGTAGACAAGTAGTGCCTCAATTATGTATGGATTTATTGAATGTTCGTTCATACGAAGAAGTCCATTCTGGAAAGGTATGTTACGCGTCAGATAATTATCTTTTTTTGTAATTCCAAAATCACAGTATTTTAACATATACCATTTTCGAAATATAGGTTACCCTATTGCAACTGGACAATTCATTCTCACAACATGTGAATGCAATTATTGGTAAAACTCGAGAATCACGGCGAGGTGTTTATTATCCTCATCTTTATATAGTAAAAGAAGATGGTGGTGATCCATCGTTACGATTATGGTTCTTATCACACATCATAGAAGATCGCACGGATACAGTGATGAGTTATCAACAATGGCTAGGGCATTTGAAGGATAAGGTAGAGTAGAACAAGTTAATAGAAAGGATGATTGAATTCTTAATGTACCAGCAACCTCTTTTAACATTTTTGCTATTTTTATAGGTTAACACAGGTTCATTTTAATTGATAGAACAAAAAAATAATAAATTTGTTATTTTATTGATATATATTTGATTAAAAATTTGAGTATTGTTGCTTAGATTGTTATATCTGGACATTTTTCACCAAGTAATCTCTAGATAAATTTGAGGGGATTATTGTTATAGACGATTGAATTATAATAAGAAATGAAAACATCAAATCTTGTTGTAGATACAAATTTTTTTATACAAAATTGATTCATTTTATTTCGGCGTGATAATGCTTTGGTAATAAATGTTAATATTTTATTGTTACAATGATATTAGTTGAAATCTAGGTATATATTTATTTATATGCATATTGACAATTAGGTATTGTAATTAATATTAATAGAATCTCAATGTTTTTTTTTCTTTATTTAACATTCGCTTAGTTTATAGAGCAGTATTTTACCCAAATTTTAACAATTTAGTGTTAACAGTATAATTATAATGTTCAATTCTAGTATCAACAAATAGTTAATTAAACGATGCCATGTTTTAGAAATTATTGAATAACACAATTCTTATCATTATGCATGTCCTTTTTTAAGCTGTTTGGCTCATTATCTCTACGAACACCTGTATCATCAAGAGCCAACCTGTTCCTTGCATCTTCGTTACCATGGGTTGCGGCCTATGTATTTAAAAAACGTTAGTTTTTTTTAAGACTAAGACAAAATGACGTGCACTTATGAGTTAACATTTACCTTTGTGTACCAAATCATGGCAGCGCCAGAATTTTTAGGAACATGAATTCCATGTTCATGAAAATAA